CATACACTTAACAACAGTGCCAGAGACTCAGAAATCTCTTCCATTTGTCAAGTTTTAATTTCAACATGCACATAAAGCTCTGGCTCAAAAGCAAAACACATCAACTTCTCTCCATCAACGGGTGGCATTAGTGTTATTCAGTCTGAGGTCTGCTGAGTTTGAGCTTACTCATTAAGTGCTGAATGAATCTGCTACCATAATGTCCTACATGTATAACAAATGAAACGTCATTCTGGTATCAAAGTAGAGAATTTTAAAGATCAAAATGTTGAGGAAATGAATGTTGCTTGTACAGTATCACTCTGGACTTATTCAGTCATTTGACAAATATTTGGACACCCACTGTACATTAGGCACTGCGCTAGGTGCTTGGCGTCATTCACTGAACACGACAGGGAAGAACCCTCAGCCTTGTGATGTTCACATTCTAGCAGAGGTAAACATACAGGGAGCAAACCAGAATCATCACAAGTAACCTACATAACATGTTAGCGGGTATGAAGTGCTCTGGAGAGAGACAGAGTAGCGTGAGGGGGGCTGGGAATGCTTTGGAGGGGAGAGGCAAGGTGGGAGTTTTAACCAGGTGGTCAGGGTGAGCCTCACTGAAAGGTGATAGCAAAGAAGCCAGAGTAGCGAGAAGATGAGATTAGGAGGGGACGGACCACAGAGGACCTTGTAGGCCACTCTAAGGACATTAGTTTTTATTCTCAGAGCAATAGGGAGCCATGGAAGGATTTTCAGCAAAGTGACAGTGGCTTCTGTGTAGAGAACAGACTGCAGGGGGCAGGGAAAGAAGCAGGGAGACGGGCAGGAGGCCACTGTGGTGACCCAGGCTAGGGGTGATGGTGGCCTGGTCTGAGGTGTCGCAGTGGAGGATGACGACAGCTGGACGGATGCTGGATACACTCACTGTGAAAGGAGAAGCAGCAGGCTTCCCAGACTGGATCAGGAGTGCGGTGTGGGAGAAGGAAAAGCCCAGGACAACTCCAAGGTTCTGGGCCCAGTGGAACTGCCATCTCCTGAGAGGAGGAGGGCTGGGAGCAGAGCAGGGTCCGGGTGGGGGTGAGATCAGGACTTCAGGACTGGAAATGTTAAACCTGAAACATCTAGCAGCCATCCAGGTGGAGATATTAAGCAGTTGGCTACAAAAGTCTGGTGGAGAATTCAGCAGAGAGGTCTGGGCTAGAAATACAAATCTCGAGTGTCTGGGATATATGTGACGTCTCAACTCAGGAGACTGGATGAAACCATCAGTTGGAATGAGTAGGAAAAAAGACCAAGGGGCAAGCCTTAGAACATACTGACATTCAGGATCAGGGTGAACAAGAAGGAACCAGAAAAGAAACTAAGGAGGAGTGATGGAGAGGTAGGAGGAAACTAAGAGCACGTTGTGCTTCTGGAAGCTAATGAAGGAAAACCGGATGAGGAAGAGCCATAAAAACTTAACCCAGAAAACAAAACAACTCTCAGGCAAAAGGAGCAATTCATAAAAACTGAAGCCACTGCTACTAGATCAACCTAAGGTGATCTGTAAGATTTATATCCTTACTGTATTTAAGTTTACATCCATGAGATGATGGACGTTCACTAAACTTGTTGTGCTCATTATTTCATGATGTATGTAAGTCAAATCATTATGTTGTACATCCTAAACTTATTATATCTCCTGTAAATTATATCTCAGTAAAACTGGAAGAAAAAAAAAGGATTCATATCCTTACAATGAGATTTTAAGTGTGTAGTCCTAAAAGAGACCATTTGACTGCTTCCAGGAAGCAATCTGATTCTTCATTTTTTTAAAAATTCAACTGCTAAAAGAAAACTTCCAACTTTGCTTTGAGAGTAAGAATGCCACAAAGCATACATATTTTCTCTCAAATCATCATGTATAGTCTAATGAACAAGTAAAGATCTTAAGAATTTTTAACATAACCATGACAGCACTTCACTATATTTCTGAATCTTCAAAGGAGACCTAGATAGATAAATTAGTCCCCTAGTTGAAAAAGGCTCCAGTTTTAACAACAAATCTCATGCTTAAGGACCAACTCCCTTCCTGTGAAGCTTTTACTAACTACTTTTCCAAACGGTATCATCTTTCTCCTTTGAGTCTTCTGTAGCCCCAACTAAAACCAGTCAATCAACAATCACACTGTCTTAGGTTTAAATAACTCTCATTTTTATACCAGACCTGGATAGATACTTTATATAGATTTTCTAATCCTTACAACTGTACAAAATTGGGTTTAATCCCTATTTTACAGATGAAAAACTGATGCTTAGAGGGGCTACCCAAGATTATGAAACTAGTAAGGGACAAAACCAGCTTTTAAACCCAGATCTGTCTTACTTCAGAGCCTTTATTTACCTTTACCCACTGCACAATAATGCCTTGTGTATAAAAGTACTACACTACTAATTTTCAGTCACTGTGTCTTGCAACCCTGGACAAGTTTGTAAACCTCTCGGTGCATCAGTCTTCTCATCCATGAAATGAGGATGACACATTACAGGTACTGCATTGTCATGAAGATTAAGACAATGTATGTAAAAGTCTTTTATAAACTGTAACTGCTTATATTATTACATGTAATAGATTTTATGCTCCTTCGGAACAGGTTACGTGCCTTACATGTAACCCCTTCAACACCCAATGAAGGGTTTACCTACCATGAATTGAACATCGTCTCCTAGTTTTTGGAAAGATCTGAGACATCTATTCTCCCTCCAAGGAGGAAAGTACTCTCCCATTACATGAAGCCTGGATTAAGTATCCATAATCCAAACCTTAAATTACAATACAGTGACAAATTCAGTGTACCCACAAAACATGAGGTTTAAACAGCCTGCATGGCATCAGCTGTCTGGTGTTTGCTCTCCAACATGGCTTTCAGTGCCAAAACAGTCTTACGAAGAGAAAATCCCAAATGAAAAATTCAACATATTTTCTAAGAAAACATGCCTGGAAGGAGGGAGAACAGAAAAAGGCCTGGTCTGTTATCTGAGTTAACAGAGACTTAACTGTTTTATGTACTGTCCAGTACACAGCCGCCTGATGACAGCAGTTAACTAACACTGCCTAACCCATCACTCACTATGAAATTTCATTTAAGAAGACCAATAGCACATTTATTAAATTTCCTCAGGCATATTCATTTTTCCCTCAATAAGACGGACATATCTGGTGGTCAGTCGGAAGGGACCCCATACGCCCCAAAGTCAGACTGTGCTAGATTTACTGCCAGGTAAGCAGACCACAAGGCAGCCAACCCTTGCTCTGCTGCTACGTGGCTCTCAGGAAGTCACTTAACATATTTGTTAATGATGGATCTGTTTTCCATTCTGTAAAATGTAAGCTGACATTATTTATTTTGCCCACATCACAGGGTTATTGTGAGAGTCAAATGAAATAATATATGTGAGATTAATTTACAAATTATATCACCAGAGGGGAAGGGAAGGGGAAAAAAATTATATCCCCAGAAATAACCAGATAATTACCTACCACTTGTCCTTTGATAAATGTCTGGTATTGGCAAAGCTGAGATATTAATTTCTCTGGGAGTGTTCTTGTGGCAACAATGAGAATTTTTTTTTAATCTACTTATTTCTGAGAAGGACAATAAATGTTTTCTTAACTACAGAAACTACAGAAGAGGTAATTGGTAAAGTTGATCTTTCCACAAAGGATCTATATTTCAACAAAAAATAGCTTCAGATGGTTCAGCTATGCCTTCGTAAAAGTGTGAAAATGGACTATCAGATCAAGATGTGGCCACAGACTGCCTTTGTGACAGAGGTCACAGACTAGAGCATTTCACCTTGCACCTCAGTCTCTGCCAAATGCCAAGTGGCTCAGAGTAATAAAGACTAGTCCTCCCCTTGCCTCCCCACTGGTCATCCCAACTGCTTCCTCAGTACTTCCAGCACAAAGGGAACAAGGAGAACAGAGAAATCAGAATCACCTTAGATCCCAGACAGCCTACCGCCTCCCTCTGGGTTTCCTTTCTGAACTAAATGTAGGAACTCACAATGGATTGATGATACAGTTTACTAGCTGACCCCTTGAGCCCAATAATTCTCTGAACTACATTGCCAACTTGCGCCAAAACTTTAAGGAAAAACTGCACAAATTCTAAAAGTAGACTGAAAGCTAGAAAGGATCCAAGTTCACACAAAAGAATAATGTACCCTAGTATCATTTTTTATTTATCATTTATCAACTATGTTGAACTATAAATACATTTTCAGCCACAAGAGTTTTTTTTTTTAAAAGGAAGAAACATAATAAGCACTCTGGAGCACATTTTGCCAGGGGCAAATACTTTAGACACTGCTTATTCTTATTTCATTGTAAAGAGGCTGAAATTTGCCTTTGAAATAGAAATAAACCATACAAATTGCTTGAGCACTTGAAATCCTAATTTCCTATGAAACCCTTGTTCTCCCCTCTCACTTGGAACTTGCTAACGTTTCTCTAATAATCCTCTTAATAGAATTCCCACTTTCCCAGAAGTGTCCCCCAAGTAGATGTAATGCTTCTTTGTGTCAAAGACATTGGCTTTTACTGTGTAACTAATATGTGCACCCTTTTGAAAAACAATTTACTGATGCTGACAAAATCATTGCAGCATCTCTGTCCCTGATTGTGATTTGTAAGCCACTTGAAGAAAAAGTGACCTCTCAAGTTTTTTGTATTGATGACTTACTTGTGTTCCAACATTTTAGCCACCTTCTCTCTCTTTTTTTTTAAGTTGTTTTTGTTTATATAGGCTTGGTGTTTGTTAAAATACCAAAGCCCATGAAACATATTCACTGCTTAATGATCTGGTGGATGTGCTGACTTTGTCTCAGGAGACCCTGAATTTTCCAGAGTCCCTGCAATACAACCAGGATAATGTTTAAGGCCACTTCAACCTGATCTACCTTGCTCTTCTAAGAGGTTTTCATGTATGAAATAATAATATCCATTACCAGTAAAACCAGAGAAGCATACTCACCAAGTGAACATAAGGCACAAAGTATCCAAAAAGTGCAAGTGGTATTCCAGCTGCCCACGCTGCATATGCTGTCACCTTGAAGATGGCAAAATTGAAAATTTTTTTTGGAGGACTGAATTTTCTCCTGGAAAAGAGGGAGAATCTGTTGCCGCCTTTGGTTCCACTGTCTTTCTCTTTGGCACTGGAAGCAAGAGGTCGGTAAGTAAAGGCAGCCAAAAAGAGAACAAACATGAAGATGCAGAGGACCCTCAGTGTGTAAAAGAGGCCCACGCTGTCCGTCAGAACCCTTAAAAGGAAAGGCAGCAAAATTGTGAAGACACTGCTGCCGGCAGTGACGATGCCATTCACCAGTCCCAGGCGCTTCTTGAAGTAGTGTCCCAAAATGACCAATGACGGCTGGTAGGCGAAGGAGCAGCCACAAGCAAATATGATTCCATAGGTCAAATACAGAGGCTCGATGGAGCTGTGCAAAGATGGAAAAGACGGAAAGCAGCTTTCATTATTTTTATCATGTGCTTAGTAAAATAAAACCTTATAGTCAGACAGAGTGGGTTAATTAACGGAAGTTAATCAATGTATTTTCTACAAATAAAAACCAAAGACAGAGGTGAAAAAGTTAATTAATCAAGAATACAAACTAACATTTAAATTTAATCTGAATGAATAATTTAAAAAATGCCTCAAGTATGTGAAAAAAGACCCCTAAGGTCATCAGTGATTTGATTCGTCCCCCTTTTTCTATGGATTTCAGGTGAACCATGCAGCACTGGGTGAAAACTGTGTGCCTTCCACAACTCAGAAATAAAGGACAGTGCCAGGAAGGGCCTCGGTAAAAATGACCAAGATGAAACTAACAAACAAAAAGCCTAGTCTCCATAAAAGTTATTAAAAATTATAATTAACTATGAAAATTCACTATTTTATGGAGTTTTTCCAGGCACTTGCTAAGCAGTCTATTCAAACAAAAGGCTGCATTTGCTATTTCCTCCCCAGGGTTATGTCAGGATCATTTGCACAGAGGAGCAGATGTGTCGCATTTTGCTGGCCTAAGTGCTGCAGACCAACCTTCGCCCTGGACTGCGTGGCTCTCACTGTTGTGCAAGATAACAAGAAATCACATTCTGATTGCAGGAGGACTAAACAAAGCGTGTTCACTACTGATTCCAGGTTTAAGTGTTAGGGCACGTAAGTGTCAAGAGAATAATAAAGGATTAAGAATTTAATAGTTTAACCAAATAACTTAATTACATCCTTCTTACAAAAGTAAAGGAACATAGCATTACATTCTTTGAAACAATTAAGAAAGGAGAAAAAGAAAATTAAAGTTCTCTTCCTTTGAAAAGTTCAATTCAAAAGGTTATTTATTAGTAGTAAACGCGAACTATTTATTAGAAACTAAGATAAAATTGGTTAATTAAATTTTGGACAATATCTAGCTGAGCAATACGCTGAGGTTATCAGAAGGAACTCTAAATCTGATAAAGTTAATTCTGTTGGCAATCCTCTCTCTCTGAGATGCCCTTTCCCCCTCTATTAATCCACAGTAAGCACCAACTTCACATCAGGCTCAAGAATCACTCCCAGACTTTCCCAAATGAAGCCTACCTCACTATGATCACCCTTTACTGAATCCCCATGCTTTATTCAATAAATATATATTTAACAGCTATTATATTCCAGATACTTGGTGAAAAAAATACTAAAAATGTGGTTATGCCCTACTTCTAGTCTGCTTAGTGAAAAAAGACATCTACCCCAAACAATAATAATACTACAATACAGAACAAAATATAAATACTTCATCCACACTGCATCAGTTTTTCCACATTAGTAGTTTTCCAGATAACTGCCACTTAACTTCTCTAGCTGCTAATTTACTTTTATTTAACAATTTTAAAGGAAAAACCTAAATCTAAATATATTTCTCTGCCTTCTTCAAAGTATATATTAAAAATAGCATTGACAACATAGTT